ATTTGGCTACTGAAACTTGTGTGTGCTTCGTGAAGTCCTCATGCTGTGTTTTGTTTTTCAGCTCTATCAATCAATTCATTTATATTCTTCTCAAAGCTGTTTATTCTGGTTAGCATTTCATCAAACCTTTTTTCAAGGTTCTTAGTTTCTTTGCATTGGGTCAGAACATTTTTCTTTTAGCTCTGAGAAGTTTGTCATTACCCACTTTCTGAAGTGTTTTTCTGTCAGTTCATCAGACTCATTCTCCAACCAGCCCTGTTCCCTTGCTGGTGAGGAGTTGTGATCCCTTGGAGGAGGAGAGGCATTCTGGTTCTTTGGTGTTTGTTTTAATCCTTTTTGTGCTGGTTTCTTCCCATCTTTGTGGATTTATCTCCCTGTGGTCCTTGTGGTTGGTGATTTTCAGATGGGGTCTCTGAGTGGACGTCCTTTTTGTTGATGATGAAGTTATTCCTTTCTGTTTTTCAGGTTTCCTTCTTACAGGCCCTTTGCTGTAGGACTGCTGGAGGTCTGCTCCAGACCCTGCTTGCTTGGGGATCACCTGCAGCGGCTGCAGAATAGTAAAGGTTGCTGCCAGTTTCTTCTTCTGGTATCTTTGCCCCAGAAGGATACCTACCATATGTTAGCCTGGCCTCTCCTTTGTGAGGTGTCTCTTTGGATATACGGAGGTCAGGGAGCTGCTTGAGGAGACAGTCTATCCCTTATAGCAGCTCAAGTGCTGAGCTGTGACCTCCACTGTTCCGTTAAGAGCTGCTGGGCAGGTACATTTCAGTCTGCTGCAGCAGAACTCATAACAGCCTTTTTTTCCCAGGTGCTCTGGCCCAGGAAGGTAGGGCTTTATCTCTAAGTTCCTAACATGCTGCTGCCTTTTTTCTGAGATGCCCTGCCCAGCGAGGAGGTGGCCTAGTCACAGTCTGCCAGTAGAGGTGTTGCTGAGCTGCCATGGGCTCTGCCCAGCTGCTGTGTGAACTTCCTTGCAGTTTTGTTTATAGAGGTATAGTTAGAACTGCCTCAGTGATGGTGGACTGTCTCGGTAGTGGTGATGACCTTCCAGGGTCCAGCAGTGCTTTCTGTGAAACTCTCAATACACAGTGTTTCAGACTGCTGGTCTTTGTGTGGGTGGGACCCACCAAGCCAGATTACCTGGCTTCCTGTTTCAGCCCCCTTTTGTTCAGTTGAACGGGCAACTTTGTCGCCCAGGTGTCAGTTGAAATGGCTGCCCAGATTTGTGTGTTTTTGTGCAGATATCTGCTGCGCCGGCTGAAACAACCATGCTGGGGACTCGCAGCGCTTTTCTGCCCAGGAATCTCATGGTCTCTGGGCAGTAAAAATTAATTTGGAGATGCAGTGATCACTTACCCTCTGCATTCTCGCTGGGAACTGCACTCCAGAGCTGTTCCTATTCAGAGATCAGGAAGGATTTTCAATATCAATTTTGCACAGAGCAGTGGTTCAGCCACTCTGATGGGGAGATCAGGGCACCCACTCGTCTATCTAGACTTGGCAGACCCAGGCCACCCTCATCCAGCCTGCTGCGCCCACCGGTCCACGTACATCGAGGGTTGTCTTGGGAGCTACAAAGAGGAAAGAAAGAAAAAACGTTGCATTCTTAAGCAATTAAAGATTGATTCCAATGTAATTAAAAATAAGTAATGTGGTAGAAGATGCACACAACTTGCTCCCTCGAGTTCTAAATTGTCACCCAATATGAAAGAAAGATTTTAGTGAAAGTAAACGATGCTTCATCACCATCATCACTCTCGTCCCCTTCCATGTTCCTACTAGGACTCAGCTATTGACTCAACACAAAGGCTTAGAGCCTTTTCTAAACTAAACTATAGCAGATCCTAGTCCCAAATTTTGCTTGCCTAAAACATGTCCAGAACTGCTGTTTTCCCCAGCAGTCCTGCCTGCCCTGCCTCAATCAGAATTCAACATTACTATTTAGTAATGTTGAACAACCCAATTGTCGTTTGTTTGTTAATTGCTTTCTCTCTTTTTCTCTCATTTTTACCTCAGTCGTCTATTTTATTCCTTTTCGTAAAGATAACATTTGAACTGCCTAAGAACTATCTTTTTAAACTAAAATACATGCATCTTTGGAAGCTGCAAATTTTGTGAGCTCAATCACTGTGCTTCTTATATAATTTGGGTCTACGCTTTGGTTCCCCCTAACTTATCCTGGCATTTTTAATTTGAATAGAAATAGGCACAGGCAAGATATGTTCATGAAATTTATAGTGCTTATTATTGTTATCTCTGTTTAGAATAACTATTTTATTAAAACATTCTAAAGGACACTGTCCACCATTCTTGACATTTGAAATGGCTCATGTTGTGCTAGTGAACAAGGTCTACATGCTAATACGTTTGTAAAACTAATTGGTGGGTTTTCCTTTATGTGCAGCTCCTGTACTGAGCAAAAGGTTTGTTGTTTAGCCATGAATTTTCTGTGAAATGTTTAGGAGAGTAATTATTTTCAGGGATCAGACCTGAGTGTTGTTAGGAACAAGAGGCCATCATCTTGTGCTTACATGCAGTGGTCTGTGTGTTTGTGTCTGTGTGCGCAGCGGTAACACTGAAGCCACTTACTCATGTGTATCACTCTACACGTCACCCCCAAATTTAGTTGAAACAAGTAGAAAGGAGCAGTTTTCTAGCAATAGCACATTAGCTTCCTAAGCCTCCGGTTAGGATAAAAAAGAAGCCAGAGAGCGGGGAAAGAGGAGAGAGAGAGAGAAAGTGGCCATCTGTGTGTTTCCCGACACAGTGGGATCACGTTTTTTCCTTAAAGAAAAAAAATCCAGCTTCCCTACCTGATCCGGAGTCCCTCTGGCGTCCGCAGGAGGCTTCCTCCTTCCCAGGGCCCGGAGCTGGCGGCTGTGACCTGGGTGCAGCCCTGGGCGACTCCCCGGCCATTCGTGCATTCTGGTCAAGTTGATCCTAGAAGCCAAAAGCAGTTTTCAGGACTTCGTTGGCAACAGCCGCCGCCCCCCTTGTCTGGGAAGTCGCGTTGGCGGGTCACGGGGAGGGGCAGGAGGGATGGATGGACGCGGCCCCGCTCCGCAGTCGTCCAGGTAACGCCCCAAGATTCCAGAATCTGAGGCACTTTGGAAGCATGGCGAGGCGGGTGCGGACGGGAGGCCGAGGGAGGCCCCGCCCTGAGCACATGGCCGATGTCGTGGCCACACCAGGGGTTCGAGGCCCCGGCTCCGGGGGTCCCCAGGTGTCTCCCGCTGTCCCCGTGAAATGAGGGTGCACCTGCGCCCCACGTGCCTTGGCCACAGGGCGGCCCCGCGCCCCGCTTCGGCCTCGGGCTGGGCCGCCCCCTGTATTTGTATTCAGATTCCTACGTTTGTATTTCTAACGCGAATAAACGCACTTGTCACAAACGCGCGAGCCGGGAGTGGACGCCTTTCTGGCTGGGGCGGGACCGGGCCCTGTGCCCGCAGGGGTGACCCGAAGCCCCTGGAGCGCGCTCCTCGGGGGAGCCCGGCCCGGCACGTTTCCCCGGCAGGAAGGGCACATGCGGGTTTCCACGCCGCGCCCCTCCGCTGTCGCCAGAGGCCGTGGGCGGAGCCCCCGGGCCGCCCTCCGAGGGCGGGAAACCTGCGCCAGCCGCCAGCCCAGCGGGCGACACGGCCGGGAAGGGCCGGACCCGCCGTCCACGCACCCGGGCGGCCCCGCAGGGGTCCCGGAGAAGGTGCCGCAGCCCCGCGCCCCAGGACGGCCACACCGCGCAGACACACGGAAACCCGCGGGGCCGCCGCGCACGGCGAGAGCTGCGCGTTCTGTGCTTCGCTCCATTTGAATTGAGACACGTTTTAATAAAAACGAACCGCTCCAGGTCCCGCCTGGGGCTGCGCTTACACCGTGGGGTGGGGTGGGGGGGGGGCGATGAGACATTTTTTGCAGCCTCTGACCGATTCCGTGGGAGCCCTAAACCCTAGAAGGCGTTTTCTGACATGGACGGGGACGTATGGCCGCAGTCGCTTCTCAGATCGCCTCAGTCTGGGCTTGAACTGTGGGCGTTTTCTGTTCGCGAACCCTCCCCAGAACCTTGCTTTCTGACCGGTGCCGTCGGCCCCTCCAGAACTTCATTAAAACAATGGCACCAGGGACTGACCTCGTGCTAAAAACTAGGCACAAACTGAATCACTGAGTCCTGAGAGCACCGTATAAAGGGAGTATTTGTCTTACCACGATTTTCTTGATGAGAAAATGGAGAGTTGCCCAATATTCTAAACCTAGAAAAAAGCAGAAAAAAGGATGGAAACGCTGGGAAATGTGACTTCAAACACCTCGAAACTCCCCTGCCTAGCTGCTGCACTCTGCCCTCCATGTCTCCAAAACCTTGGGACTGTGGAGTGAACTTCAGAGAAAATTAATACGCCAGACATTCACTTTTTAGCTAATTTAAACCCACTTTTTTTGGGGGGCGGGGAACCTTTACTTTCAAAGGGATAGTTGACAAATGTGCACAAATGGCATGATGAGGTCAGCTATGTTTGGTGGGGACCCACAGAAATCAGTAAGCTGCTTTCAAGGAAAAGGCACACACAGAGGGCTCCCTCGCTGGGCTGCCTGATTGCTAACTGAGGGGCAGGGCGAGCTCTTGCACAGACGTAGAGCAGTGGAGACTCCACATCAGGTCACTGTCCTGACTGTACTCACTGCCAGGTTGGAACTGAAGCTGCTCCGGCGAGTTAAAGAGTCCAGCAACTAACAGAAATTCCTGAGCTTGCAGGTGGCAGGTAAGAAAGAAAGAAACAGCCACTGAAACACTCATGAGATAACCAAACTTGCTCAGGTAGGTTGCAGCCACTATGGCCAACTAGAGTCTGCAGAGCGTGAGGCTGGTGACGCAGCAGTCCCGTTTCCATCACGTTTCACTCCAGCTCCCCCACCGTTGCACGTGACCCACGAGGTAACATGAAGAGATAACCGCCCACAGCCAAGGACTTTCCAGACTGCCCCTGTCCTTCCAGCACTCGCTCCTCACCTCAGAAACCACACCTGAAGCTTTTCTCATGAACGTACTGCAGCGAATCCAGCACCAGGACATAGATTTGAGCTTGACTTCCAAGATACACTATTTCCACGAATGGCACCGTCCACCCAGTACCTCAGGCCCTGAACAAGGTCACATCCATGCACAGCCTGGAAGGAGCACCCCAAGTTCTGTTCCCCAGGAGGCGCAAAGAAGAGGCTGCGGGGTCTCTAATACCTGTATTGGTAAGAGCCGGGGAGCATGCATGGGAACCTATTTTAAGGGTTTTAGAACCAGAAAGGACCACCTTTAAAGCCGATGTGGCTGTATTTATATACAAAGGGATTAAACACCGGAACCTTGAATACTAAGGTTTAGTTCTCAAGGTTCCTGGTGACCTGTCCTTCCAGTAAGGTGACTGCTGAAACCTGGATTTGCCGTTGCCTACAGCCAGAGAAAATGAGCCGCCAGCCCCCCCCTACACACACACTGTAAGGGGACAGGCTAAGTCCGTGGAAAACGGGGATGTCAGAGTGGGTTTCCCATGTGCAACTCATGTGAACGTAGGTGGGGGACCGGTATCCCCCACACTGAGGAAGGCACTCACGAGGGAGCCCCAGCAACCACCAAGCTCTGTAGCGGGCTGCAGGTGATGCCGTGATGGGAGAGGCCACCATGAACCTGGGATCTGCGGTTCCAGAGGAATCATGAACTCTGAGAGTCTCAGGGCCAGGTGGCATGACCTGACCTTCACTGACTCTAACAAGCCGCAGGGACCGAGGAGAGATCAGTGTTTTGACCCGGAGGCCTGAACACCATGGGTGTGATGCAGCCCCCTTCCTCAGGACACGGCTCTCTGCCTGGCTGCAGCTTCATTGCACTGCGCCCTTTGCATCCTTGCGCTGGGGTTAAGTGATTCTTCCTTCTCAGAACAGATACTATCCCAGGTATGAATTGGCCTTTCCCGCCCACACAGCACCTGTATGTCTATAGGGGCCTCTTCCCTGCCATGGCAGACCATGTAACATTGCCAGTTAAACCAGAACTTCGGGAGTTCTCATAGATTTCTGAATGGTCTAGAAAGAAGTGCTTTTAGTGGAGGTGAATGTTAAATAGCAATGTACAGTCAACACAAAAATACACCCACAATCTCCAGTCCGTAACTCACATTTTCCAGTAGGGATAGCTGTAGTCCCCTGAGGACCAATGCAATGGAAAGAAAGGCAAAAGACATAAATGTCAGAGGAGTTCCAGTGTCAACAGGTAAAAGAGCTGCCAAGGTTGCTGGAGACTCACCTGAATCCGACCTGTCACACCCACCACCTTCAGCCGTGCCACACAAATGTGAATAAAGTGTAAGTCTCCTCACCATATTGATCCAACATGGAGCAGAAAACCACTGCAGACAGGTGAAGTGGCAGCCAACTGCATACGCCTGTTAGAAAGGTAAACCAAGGCACAGAATTTTAGAGTTTATTTGAGTGAGTAGTGATTCAGGAATCAGGCAGCTTTGAAGCAGAAGTGGTTTGGGAGTCTCACTTAGGAACCCAAGGGGGAGGCTTGTGTAGACCCACAAGGAGGTAAAAGAAAGGAAATGTTTGGTTAGCTACAGTTCAAGCCCGCTGGAAAGTCCCTAGTAAGATCATTATAAGTGGGTTTGCTGCTTGTTAAGGGTTGAGCTTCAGTTTCATTTCATTTCATTTATTTATTTATTTTTATTTCTTTTAGAAACAGGGTCTCGCTCTGTCACCCAGGCTGGAGTGCAGTGGCACCTTCTTAGCTCACTGAAGCCTCGAGCTCCTGGGCTCAAGCCATCCTCTGGCACCAGCCTCCTGAGCTGCTGGGACCACAGGTGTGCACCTGTAAAATTAGTATGGCCTGTTTTTTTTGTTTTTATGTTTGTGGATATGAGGTCCTGTCTGTTGTCCAGGCTGGTCTTGAGCTCCTGGCCTCAAGAGACTGTCCCAGCCTCAGCCTCCAAAGTGCTGGGATTACAGAGACAGAGCACCACATTTGGCCAGATGCCTTTTTTTAATACAGGCATGTACAAGAATTCGATGAAGTTAAGTTTTCCTTGTGTTTCTGAAGTCAGGCAAGGTTAAGGTCATGTATGAGGCCCGACCGATTTGTCCACTCAGGGATGCTTCAGGCCTGGTTTCCATTTCATTTCACTCCAACACACCAGACCTAACAAGAAGCAGTATTTGGCATTTTAAAAGCAAGATGCAAAAATGTTCAAATTACTTGGTGATGGAAAGTTGAATTGTAAAAGAGCTTAACTCCTACACATTTTTTTCCCCAAGAGGGAAAAATAATTGAGTAAACCAAACGAGAGAAATCCAAAGCTGAACGGAATAATTTTCCATAAAATAAAAGCCCTTTTAAAAACAGAAATTTTAAAAAGCCAGTCATTTTCAATCCATTTTTTCCTTCCATTACACAGCCATTGTGCCTAATTTCTAAACATTTCCAAAATGCGGAGGCTGAAAAGCCTGACACTTGTGACTAAAGTAAGGTTCCTAAATGCTTCTCAGAAGAGTCTGATTTATTAGGTCTGGAGCAGGACCCAAGAATATGCGATTGGGAACCACAGGCCTAACTGGACTAGGAGGAAGCAGAGAGGGAGCCGAGGGGAGGTGTGCATCTGAGCGCCTCCCGTTCAAATGAGAGGTACACATCAGTCCATTAAATAGGTAATTGAGAAAGCATCCTGAAATTAGATTGAAATAAGAAGTCTTCTCGGTAAGCAATGTAATCCTGAAATTCAGCAGTCTGGCCTGGCACGCTGTACTGGCCAGGGTAGGCTGATACAACAAATAAACTCTGAAATGTCGGGGGTTCTCACCTCACGGTCTAGAACTGACAGCGGATACCCCCAGCCCAACCCACCATGCAGAGGCTCCACTTTCCCTTTCTTTATCGTGTCCAGCAGATGGGGAAGGGCGGATGGGGAAGGGCGGATGCGGAAGAGGCTCCGTGCAGAAAGAGTTTATGGGCTGGGCCTGAAATGGCAACTTTTCATCAGCCAGAACGGAGGACGCTGTGGCCACGGTCACCTCTGGCTCACTGCAGAGGAGGCTGGAAAACAGCATGCCCAGGGAGAACGTGGATTGTGGTGAGCGAAAGCCCCGCCATGCTGCTGCGCACAATTAAAGGGTGACCCTCTGCAGTCCAGATGTCAGAAGATAATATGAGGAATCCCTGGAGATCACACGCACACTGCCTGGTCTCCAGGGGACCCAAAGCATGGCAGGGCTTGACACTGGAAATTCAGACTGGGCCCATCCAGGTGCACCGAAGTCAGTCCACGTTTGCAGGTACATTAAAATGTGAGAGGCACTGCCTGGGCCAATTCAAAATTGTCTTCAAATTTTAGTTTGTGGTCTTAGGGTAACTTTCAAGGTCAGTGGAAATAAAAAGACTCCAATTTGATGAAAATTTGCCAGACATTTCCATGCACGTCACCTCGAATTTAACAGTGATTAAAATGATGATTTCACAGCACGATGACACATTCCAAATCCAGACCCCGTGGTGCCTGCATATGTCTCCAGTTCTAAGTCCTAAGAACCCTCTTGAGAACTCTAAGCACGCAAGAAACACACAGGCCTCAGAACGCATACAAGGCAGCCCTGTGTGCAGGTAGCTGGGGCTGTTTGAGGTGAAATTCAGATCAAATTCAGCACTTGCCTCACCTGCACCAATGCGTTAGGAAGCCCTGGCAGTCACCGTTACGTTGATGATTGATTGGGTAAAAGCGCCTGTGAGTGTGGGCCTAATCTGATTTTCACTCTCACCCCAAGCTCTTTCGGCAGCATTGGCAGGACTTAAGCTCTGCATTATTTCTCTAGGGAAGGTCTTTCCATCTGTCAAACAACGAGCTCACTGACAAACTCACGGCCACTGGGTCCACAAGACACAGAATCTCCTGTGCTCCACACGACAGACATGGGAGGAAGTTACCCCAGAAGGTAACAGAAAGGTGTTCTGGAACTTCAAATACCTTCCCCAAAGTTGGTCACTTTTTGCCTCATTTCCAAATCATCCACCAAACATATTCTCTAGAAGAAACAAAAGGTCATTTTGTTTCTTTGGTTACTGTAATTCTCCCTGAAAACAATATGGTAGACAGAAGTCCCACACAGCCAGTGCACACGTGCAGCAGGTAAACTCTTCCAGGCGTGTGACCATATCGAGAGAATCCGTTTTATGATTCTCAGTGCCTCCTTTCCTCATCATTTTATATGTGAACCATGAGGGAAGTAAACACATAAGGAGGGAAAGAAATAGAAATTCGTATTAAAAATCAAGTCAGCTAGGGCTAACAACACACACCATGACCCAGGCCCAGGGTGCTCAGGGCCTCAGTAAAACTAAGGTCTTCGATGTGAGGATGTCAGGTATGCCCCGTAGCTCTCAAAACTCCTGAAATAGGGGAGGGACAGCGGGGGGTGCGGAGTGGGGGGGATAGCATGGGGAGAAATGCCAGATATAGGTGAAGGGGAAGAAGGCAGCACATCACACTGCCACGTGTGTACCTGTGCAACAATCTTGCATGTTCTTCACATGTACCCCAAAACGCAATTAAAAAAAACTTCCCAGCAAAAATCATGTTGCATTTAGAACACATCTGACCTGCATTGTTATGAGCCCAAAGGTTCATGGGCACTCCATGGGTCATGAGAAACAGACTAGCTGATCTCATTCCAAACCGCCTACAAGCCAGGTGCAAAGACGCATGTGAGTATTAAACATTTCACCTAAAAACATCATTCAATATTCTTACTTGTTGGGGGAATTCCCAGCAGAATACTTTCATAATGAGTATTACACATTTGTGAAATTTCAGCTTCACGCTGTACAAATGAGAGATTAGGATTTCTCTAATAAATGAGGAGGCATAAAGACATTTAGGCTGGGTTTGGTGGCTTACAGCTGTAATCTCAGCACTCTGGGAGGTCAAGAGGGGAGAATCGCTTAAGGCCAGGAGTTCAAGACCAGCCTGGGCAACATACAGAGATCCTGTCTCTACAACAATAAAAAGAATTAGCTAGCCGTGGTGCTGCACACCTAAAGTCCCCGCTGCCCAAGAGGCGGAGGCGGGAGGTTCACTTTGGCACAGAAGTTTGAGGCTGTGGCGAGCTGAGACAGTACCACTGCTCTCTAGCCTGCGCCACCAAGCAAGGCTCCATCTCTGAAATATAAGTAAGTACCGTTGCCCAGGCTGGTCTATTTAGACACATATAAGGAAGAAAAAGATGCTGAGAGCTGAGAGTTCCATACTCTTCAAACTGTGTGGGAGCATCAGGGAATTGTACCAGCAGTTGCCTCTACCTGAGGAGCTTTGCTAAGGATTTAATTGATGCCCCTTTTTAGGACAGGGAAACTGAAAAAGGGTTGGGAAACGTGGATGCTATTTAGGTTGGCCTCTCTGACCTTCTGCCAATGTGATGGACGGGCATGGTCACAGTAGACACCCTGGATGACAAGAGGTAATGCACTCTGGGTCCACAGGACAGGGCCTCACGCACGGACAGAGCGCCACGCGTATGGGACCCCGCTGCCACTGCTCAGTCAAGCCCACAGGCTAGGCTGCGTTCCAGAGGAAGCACACCTTCCCCAGGAGTGTGACTATGGGGTGTGCACCTAACACCTTTGGTACTTTTCTAGCTTTTTACTTTTCTCTCCAAATTTAAAGGTTGGCTGTAGCAAACTCAGACACTAGATAAATACACTAGGCACAGAGTTTAGAAATACTAAATTCCTTCACTCAGGAAGTATTCTGCAGAGTCTCATGGAAGAAAACACACAAGCACACGTATACATATGGGTGCACACACACACGTGCACGCACACACGTGTGCACACACACACACCAGCCTTAAGAATTTTTCCTCCTTTTTGCTTTTCACTTGATGACTCAGTGGTAGAATTTAAACACTGAGGGCACCTGAGGACTGCAGAAGAATGGTGGACACACAACGACTCGTCCAAACGTCTGCACAAACAAATCTAAGCAAACACTAGCCTGGCTTTTAGCAGCATGAGGCTGTGTCCCTGAGACGTTCACAGCCCGCCTTAAAATTCCTGCAACTGAAAACTCGATGCTTCCAGCATTTATTTGTTCCAGCAAAATTTAGTCCTTGTTCCAGCCAAAACCTGGTGACAGGCAGAGAGGCCCCTACACCTCATCATGGAGGAGTTACTTTAGAAAGCTTGCAACCATGCATTCTTTGTCTGCCCTTGAGAATGTCAATCTTCCACCACCGAGAACTGTCTCCACAAGGACCTGGGAGCCATCTCTTTGAAACAGAAACTTCCAGGGAAATGCCTTTGCCCCGGCTTTGCTCCCAGTCAGTGGGGGAGAGGACGGCCTGACTTGGGTGGTACCTCCCTCTAACCTGCCCCATTGCCTCTGGAGGAGTTTGTTTCTTTTCCAGATGAGTACCAATTAGCTGCCTAGTCACACGGACCAAGCCTCCTAGCACCCGCAGTGCCTTCCCTGAGCACAGCCTTTACGTATCCCCTGCCTTCTGTGAGCTTAGTTCACGCTGGACCTTCTCCCCTATTGTGATACTTAATAAAGTCTGTCCTTATTGCTTTGTGTCTGGCTTTATCTTTGACAAACCTAGGCTATAAAATCATCATAAATGTGGCATCCTTCAAATTTTTGCTATAAACAAACTTCATAGGTTTTTTTATTTTTTTGAGACAGAATCTCACTCTGTCACCCAGGGTAGAGCGCAGTGGCGTGATCTC